ACTCAACTGTTGGTATGTGAGCATTTTCTAGTCAAAGAAGTAAAATTCAGACCAATAGAAATTTCCCAAAAAGTTAATCTCTTATTTCTGAGAATGTACGTATTGAAAACATGGGGAATTAAAAACACTGCAGAGCAAAATGAAACCGTGTGTTCCAATGTTGAATAGCACTTGTTTATATCACTATGACTTAAGCAAACACAAGCATTTCAATTTACTAAAGAAGTTTACCATTGATATTTTTTAACTTGCATTGAAAATGAAATCTTCTTTCTTTTAACTGACCTTCGTGTTAACTTTGAGTTTGAAAGAAGATTTAGAGGTACAACATTACTCCTAAGAGCTTCAAAGGATTATGTGTAATAAACAAGACCACAAAACATTTGCTAGGTCACTAAGCTTCTGTAATTGTTTGATGAAAACAAAAGTTCTGGACCATAAACAGCGGTGAAGCTGTGTTTAAGCCACTCAAAATTCATTAAGTTCAAATTTTTTTGGTTGATGAAGAATGCACTGAAAACTGACAAAACTTGAACACAATTAGAACTGGCTTTTCTACACTCATGGATTTCTGGCAACCATTACAGTAATTTTTTAGATTGCTAAGGTCAGGTCTTTATGTATGACTTGGATTGTGTACAAGTTGAGGGTGAATGTTTGGGATGATTTTTTGGTCATAAAAGGTCCAGTTATACACAAGTAAATACTGAAAAGATAACACTTTTTATGTTTTTCCTAGAATGAAGTTTCAATTGAAAACAAAAAAAAATTGCAATGGCTCCCATGCCTCACATGCTTCACTGGATTGCACTTTGTAATGACCCAAAGGATGACAATGTACTTGGGCTTGCTAAAGAAAATTTAACAACTAATTACTGTGCATTGGCTTGAAAGAAGTTAAAATATGAAAAGGAGAAAAACTATAGTGGTGTAAGGAAAGCATTATAAGACAAAAATCCTGGGCTTTCGATACATCACGTTGGTCCAATCTTAATAATACAGATACCTTATTCCAAGATAAAGTTCCTCAGGCTTATGATATGTCCATGAGTATGAAACAAGTACACATTAAAAGAACAGCACTTAATTCTGTTGTTAGAAAGGAACATTAATTCCCTTTGTTTTTAAAAGAAACCAAACATGCATCCCCTCGTTCTTTGTAACAAACAAATTGAATGCTTTTAGAATCGTTACTCAAACATATTTCAATTCTGATATGATCTAGTAGAAACTAGTAGAAACTAAGATTAAGGCTGTCAAGTTTACAATATGTCCATGAGTACAAAACATGTATTTGCCAAATGGGGAACACTTCATTTTGATGCTATAAACAGTTTGCTCTGAGAAAGAACTGACTCAAAATGTCACCTATTGAACTCTTTACAATGGCCAATTTTCAATTTCAACTTAGATGACAAAGCCAAAAACACTTCCCTTGGTTGTTAGAAACAAACGATGCTTTAGTGATTAAAATATCTCAACTTTATCCTGTGTTTACTGTCTATTAGCCTGATCTTTTAAAGTGCCACTATGACCACAATTTCGCATTGCCTTTTCTTTTCACTTCTGGAAACTAGAAGTCAGAAACACTTACCATGCCAAGTTTAATCGCAAAATCCTCACGGGAAGTATGATTATTTCAACCTTGTTTTTCGTTTTGGGTCGCCCGCCATTACTCAATTCAAAAATGGCCGCATGTGGCAAAAAGAGTTGGCACTAGTTGGAGCCTTTCGGAAGTGACATCATATGCGTAGCTCGACCGAAAAAACGTGGCTAAATTTGTAT